AGCGACATCATTTCATTATCAGTAATCAAGTTAATTCTTCAATTAGCTCATAAGCATGATGTTTGCAGAATTTTGAGGATGATGTACACTGTTGCTTCTCATACTACTGAGAATCGAATGACTCCATCAGCAGTTGCTGCTTGTATGGCTCCTCTCTTGCTGCGTCCACTTCTGGCGGGTGAATGTGAGATGGAAGATGACATAGACATGAGTGATGACAGTTCTGCTCAGCTTATAGCTGCTGCAAATGCTGCTAACAATGCTCAATGCATTGTCACAACTCTATTAGAGGAATATGAGAGCATATTTGATGTAAGTTTACCTGATGCTATCCCAGAGTTCATTGCCCTGATGATGCTATTCTAGACAATTTAGGCTGATACATTTGCTACTTGTCCTTCCACTTCCTGAGTTACTGTAAAAGCTGCTTATCATAATGTTTATCACTTCTACAGGATGAACACCCAAGGTGTTCCCTCTCACCTGATTCTCGAATTCAAGATAGTGGAAGTGAAGAGTCTACAGATGATGAAACTGTGGATGCCAAAGATAATGGGTTTCATGATGCAGAGAATGATGTAGATCAAGAATTAGATGAGCGTATACTGAGTGGAAACTTGAGTGAAAGCAGTGCACGTACTGGTGCTGACCTCTATGACTACCAGGTTTGATATGGTTTGCAATTTTGAAGTTTCTAATCTAGAAATTCATGGTTTGATACGAATCATATATTTGCCTTATATATTTTTAAGATAGCTGATAAAATCGATTTGCTTCCAGTTTTACTGATGATGTATTTTTCTGCATGTTAATAGTGTGGATCAAATTATGGCTACAATATCCTAATCTTATAAAGCTTTTTTCCGGCTCGTTTCCCTGTAGAAAATTCCTACCTAGCCTATCCTCAGTTTATAGTTCATTTTATTAATGTTTGTGGTGTGAAGTTCCCAGTAGTCCAGTCCGAAACTGACTTGATTTTCAATGTTATTCGGCTAGCAACTCCTTTTGTGTCGATATCATTATGTGGTTTTTCCTTTCTTACTCATCTTAATGTGGCACAACAGGTAGACCCTGGTGATTCAGACGCCGAACGTTTTGTCACAGATAAGGCTTTGGAAGCAAAGTCAGATTTAAAGGATGCTCCACACAGCCATTTAAATCAAAATGGAACGATAAATGTCCAGAGATTACCGAATGGAAATGATCCAACAAATCTGGCTTCCAGTCATGAGTCTCCATTGTCAATGGGAGAGATTCTTTCGTCTTTGGATGCAGGAGTTCCTTTATCTGGTCCTGGAGCTGAACATTCTGCAGATAGGCAGTCCATCAAGTCCAATGAAACTCAGTTACATGTGAAGCGTTCTAATATTTGGGGACGGAGTAATGTAAGCGAGTCGTTACCTTTTGTTGTCTTCCTCTATATGTTTCTGCTAGTTCAGTGAATTTCATTCTGTTGACTTCCATTGTTTTGTTTTTAAAACTAGTCATGGTTTTGGAATAAATACACTCCTCTAGTTACTCTTGAAGAAGCATCTGTAGTTGTCTGCTGTAGCTTTTTTTTTTGACCTTGTGGATTTAAACATGTGGTTTACACAGGCAAGAAAGAGCCAGCAGTCAGAGTTTGCTGATTCATCGGGTGAAGAAGAGTAAGTTCCCAGTCATTCTAAGTACTAATTCCCTATTGAGAAAGTTGCTGCTATTAATTTAAAAGTTTCTGTGCTATCTTTGTGGCCTGTGCTACCATTGATGGGTGTGGCCATGCTTGTAGCGTAGCTTTTACTTTTCATTGGATCACATATAGTGACATTATCATTGAAGGGTTGATTTTGTACTTAACTATTTCACTATGCAAACGTACCTTTCAGGCTTGCTATCCAAAGACTTGAGATTGCAAAGAATGATCTGCAAATTAGGATTGCGAAAGAGGTAAGAAGGAACACATATATTCTGTAATTGTAGGCCTGTGATGTGGGATCTTGCAAACTAACTGAAAATTCTTCTCAGACTAGAGGTAATGCAATCTTACAGGCTAGTTTGGAAAGAAGAAAGCAAGCTCTGCATGAGCGCCGTTTGGTGCTGGAACAAGATGTATGCCATATTTTCCACTATATGAATCAACTACATTTCACACTTGTATGATGGGAATTTACCCATAATTTCCATCTTTTATATTTGATTTTGTTGCGATTTCTGTTCAACAACATCCCATTAAACAATTAATAAAAAATTCTGTAGGATTAAATGACGGCTTGATTATTTGTTTGATTGCAATTGTTTGTCCCTGTAGGTATCAAGGTTGCAAGAGCAGCTGCAGGCTGAAAGGGATCTTAGAGCTGCATTAGAAGTTGGATTAAGCATGTCTTCTGCGCAATTTTCTGGTTCACGTGCTATGGACTCTAAGGTACTGAAATGTGAATCTAGCAGCTGGCCAGCAGTTATCGTACTTTCAGTTTTTAGCGGTGTCTAATTTCTTTGCCTTAAGACAAAGGCAGAGCTTGAGGAGATTGCTCTCGCAGAAGCTGATGTTGCAAGGTTAAAGCAGAAGGTTGCAGAGCTGCATGTCCAACTTAGTCAACAGCGCCAACACCAGTACGACTCTTTTGTAGATGAGAATGACCGTTATCAGCATCGTCCAAGTCATCTCCCACAGTAAGACAATGATTGATGTACTCCCTTTGTCCCAAAATAAGTGTCGCTGCTTTAGTACAAATTTAGTACAAAGTTGTACTAAATCAACGACACCCAAACTGTTAGTATATCAAATTAGAAGTGGATGTATCAGGTCCAACCCAAGCTGTTATGGTTAATTGTGCAATGTGGCTTTTGTCAGGCCAGGGCATCAAACAAACATGACAAATTCAAAAAGTAAACAAATGTTGGTGTATTCTGGAGCGGGGGTTACACATTTTAGAATTTGAACTAGTGTATTAGAAGGGTGAAAAGATAGTTTTAAGTTTTAACTATTAACGTGTGCCAGTTTTTTTTTCTATTGTCCTTTTTAATTTTACTCTTAACACAAAACGAGTTTGAATTTGAAATTTATACATAGGTAATGTAAACTGAGAGTACATGGTTTTTTATTTGGGTATTTTCATATTGATTTGGGCCCTCAACAGATCAGGTACTCTTTGAACCCACCCATGAATGGTCTGTCTCGAAACCTAGATGTGCAAGCATGAGATTCCCTACTTCCGGATATAGCGGGTTACACTTGCACCTGATACATTGCCATTAAGCTAATATGTACAATTACTTTTAAATATTAACATATGGGCGGTATGCTAAATGTCCACCACGTTTTGTGCTTAGTATTTTAGTACCAAAAGCAGGATGTTTATGTAGCAAGGTATCGTATCAGCTTAAAACTCATGGTTTGAAAGTTGGGTGTGTTCCATTCTTGAATTATTCTTTCAGATTGTAATATATTAACAATTGCAAATATTTTATTGCCACCAGGAGCTTTGTTCAACCAGGGTTTGATACTAAACTTGCTTTCTGTAATCAAGAGAAGAAGCAGAGGAACGAGGTTTGACAAAAACGCCCCTATCAATCTACTACCCTTTAGAAGTCTTCCAACCAGTTAGCTGAATCAAATCCATTATTCATTGCATTTCCATAATAGTTTACAGAGCTCAGTTTGTTTTAGTTGTAAAAGGGCAAGCCAACAATGAAAAACTTAACTGGTGTGATGTTAAACTGGTGTTGCATGAGGATCATACTAAGAATTGAAGCCACGTTAACTTTCTGGCAGGAGAGCTTGTCGGGCGCATCACACTGGAGAAGTATCAAACAGCACGTGCTGAACCAGGCTTCTTCGAAGCCCTTCTCCCGCAAGCACTCCCTGGATGCCTCTTCGAGCGATTCAAGGGAGGTGTCGTCAAGCATGCCAGTGGAGAGCGGTTCGATGTCTGCGAACAATCCAAGAGCAGGGGAGGTAAGGGAAATCATTGCATCTTACGGTCATGCCTTAACGCCAAGCACACCAATCCTTTTCAAAGCAACCAAGGTGTTCAACTCTCTTGTTGTAACGCAGGCTGTCGAGTACGGGAGACAACCGCCCATGCCGTCGTCCACCCTGGTTGAGCTGACGACCAGACTGGATTTCTTCAAAGAACGGAGGTCGCAGTTGATGGAACAGCTCCACAGTCTTGATTTGGGACATGGATCCGCGCCGCATGGTTTTCAGTACAAGTCTTCGTCACCTTGGAACAGTCCGAGATAGGAGGTTTTGGTTTCTTCTAGTTCCACGTTTGTATATTCTTGGTAAAGGATATTCGCCCCTTCTTTCGTTAGTTGTAGCAGCTGCTAGCGAGAATGTATATTCCTTTTTCTTGTTTATTTTTTGGCTGTGCAGCAACCTCATCCGAGTGTGATTTTGTAATGTAATGTATGTACGCAACGATTTAAAGGGTTGACACTTGTTTTGAGTGCATATCTCACAGATGATGTGTAAACGCCGGTGCGCCCAGAAAACCGCCTTTTATGGCACTTCGGCAAAAAATGGTGCTCCAGCAGATGATGTATTTGCAGCAACGTTGCGGGTGATGTAAAACTCCATCACGCACCACCACACGAAAAAGGGCCGTTTACACCACCTTGTGCCAAAAACACTGTTGGAGGTGATATATATGCACAAATGCAGCCAGGAAGAAAGAAAAAGCCATTTAAGGCATCACTTTTACATTGCCTGTTTGAGCAACAATCATTGCGGTGATGCAAAAGCAAAAACCTTCCCTTTCTCCCGTCCTAAAACTAAAAACTATGGAAACACTAACGCCCACACGTGTGGGCGTTTGCATCTCGCCCACACGCGTGGATTCACGTTCGTTTGTGGGTGCATGAATCTTGGCATGTTTGTGGTGGCACGTAGGACTGGGCTGGTGTGTGGGCATCCATCCGGTCACCCACACGTCCGTTTCATCACACGGAAGGGCCGGCATGTGGGCATTTAGCAGTTCGCCCACACTCCAAATTTCACTCACGCACAAGGACTGATGTGTGGGCATTTGCCATCTCGCCTACACGTTCGTCTCCTCTTCCACACCCAAGCTGCCAGTTGTCATGTGTTTTGCAGTGTATATGGCAACACCCAAGCTGCCAGTTGTCATGTGTTTTGCAGTGTATATGGCAACTGCCCTAGTGTGCTTGTAAGCAGATGGCAATTCTTTTTTTTATCCAAACATGTCAGTTGCCATGTGTTTTGCAGGGTACACGACAACTGTCCTAGTGTGCTTGTAAGCAGATGGCAACTCTCTCTTTTACCCGAACATGTCAGTTGCCATGTGTTTTGCAGGGTTCACGACAACTGCCTAGTGTTAATAGGTGGCAACTCTTAAAGTTTTCAAATCATGGCAACTGTAGTAAACAGACTATACATGGCAACTGCGTAGTGTTAGTAGGTGGCAACCCCTAAAGTTTTCAAATCATGGCAACTATAGTAAACCAGACCATACATGGCAACAACTGCAGTTGTCCAAAAATGGCATCTGGCACTTGACTTGAGATGGCAACTGCAGTTGAGCAACCATGACAACTTCAGTTAAACGAACATGGAAAAGGGTCCAGACCATGGCAACTGCGGGCGCGTGGTGACTGTCACGCGGAACGTGCGGGACCATGAGATAGGAGGCCTGACGTACGGGCGTGTGAGCGTTATCTATTTTGCCCATTCGTAGGCATGTGAGAGGGGACCGTGAGAAAAAAAAGACGTGTGGGCATTACTTATTTTGCCCACACGTAGGCGTGTGGGCTGATCCTCTTACACCACATAAAACGTGTGGGCAGACCTCTTAACGCCCATACGTGTGGGCGTTATCGGCGTCCAAAAACTAAGGACGCTGATAACACCCACACGTATGGTGAGAGCAACACCCGCCCACACATCGTGTGTGCTGTGAGTAGGAGGCAGCACCCGCCCACACACTATGTGTGCTGTGAGCAGGAGGCAGTCCGCATGGGTCATGTGTGGGCGAACATTAGAACAACCCGCACGTGTGGGCGCACGTACTTCGTGCCACACACCCAACAAATACTACTCATCCCCACCTCGCACGTGTGGCACAAAGCAAACATGTCCACACGTTCTGACGCAGCTACGTTAGTTACCCGCGGGATGAACACTTTAGTTACCCCAGGGATGGCAACTTTAGTATCCGGGATGGCAAATGTGGTTGTAAAAATATGGCAACTCTTTCTGTTTTGGTTAATTATAGTTGGCATGTCTAATTTATGGTAGTTGTCGCATGTAATCAAAACATAATTGTCGTGTGTGATTAACTACTTGCCACATGTGGTCAAACAATAGTTGTCATGTGTGTTTACCTAGCCCACACATGCTGTTCAACCATAGTTGTCATGTATGGTTAATCATAATTGCCATGTGTGTTTATCTTGTTGCCACGTATGCGCAACTGGAGTTGCCATCTGTCAAGAAATTTGTAGTTGCCACATGTATTTATCCTAGTTGCCACATACGCGCAATTGCAGTTGCCATCTATCACCGTACGAGTTGTCGTGTGGGCGAAGAGCACTTCACCCACACGCGAGCGGACTAGGTAGTGAATGTGTGGGCGAAAACTGATTCACCCACATAATGCAGCCGGCAAACAGCATGCTGCAGGTCATGTGGGCGAGCTCTCTAACGCCCACACAACATGCTATGCCTACGTGACACTAAAATTCTAACAGATTTCTTTAGGATTCGTGCAAAACAGAATCAAGCTGGATTAACATGTGTGTGGCCGAAGTGCAAACGTGCCACACGTGTGGGCGTTATCATTTAGGAAAACTAATTTTGTGCCATCTCAAAAAATAAAACTATTTTTGTGCACTAATTTATGCATCAAAACTATTTTTGTGTACCAACTTATACATCATCTGTTGGAAATGCTCTGACGTCGGCCCTAGACACAAGAGAATAAAGACATCTTAAATGTATGAATCAAATTGAAGCTGTAGAGTTGGGCTCATGGCCACAGCTGTAGAGTTGGGCTCATGGCAAGCGCCCAGAGTGAAGCTGTGATCTCCAGCACGCGCTCTTTTTGCATGGCCAGAGCACAAGATTGCCCACTGAGAGAACACTACTGCTATGCCTCTCAGGATCACCTGCACACCAGTCCATGAACTTCTGTTAAAACAGAGTTCATTCCTACATTTCCACAGACCATAGAGTTGCTGCATGAACTAGGTTAATTGTCTGGTGTTTTTTGTGACTGATCCACCACTTTGCAATGTACCTCAAAGTTCACAGTAGTGTTAACCCAGCGAGGGTACTAATATTTCTCCACACCTTAGTGGCAACAGCACAGGCAAAGAATGAGCGCGTACAGGCATCTTCATTACAGAATAGGCAGGATAAATTGTCAAGATTTTGCCTTTTAGCTAGGTTATCTCTAGTGAGCAACTTATTATGAGGTAAAAGCCAAAGAAAAATATGGATTTTAGGAGGAACATTAAGTTGCCAAACAGCAGGAATATGAACAGGGACGACCCCCCTCACAACAGCATATAAAGACCGACAGAGTAAATACCATTGGATTCAAGCTTCCAAATCACAACATCGGCATCAGTATTAAGCCGAATAGACTCAGCAATATGAACAAAGTCAAACCACTGGAGGAACAATCTGTTGTCCACACACCTTCTAAAAGTAATCCTAAGGTTAACACCATCCCATGTATCAGCAATAGTGATGTGGCTATTGTACTAATTACAGAATAATACATGGCCTGTATGTGACTAGCGTACTAATTTATAGTTTTTTTTTTCTAATTTAGGGTCCGTTTCGATTGTTAAAAGTTTGTGTTAATTGAGCTGAAACCTACTGTTCATGGAGTTCAAAGCTCAGCTTCTTTCTCCTCCAACACGAAATCTCAAATTTCATGGTTGAAAGTTCCTATTCTGTCAGCTGGAAGTTGAAATCATGTCATTTCAAAGCTATGGATTCACATAGTTGCATGAGTTTGCTGTTGAAATCTTTTCTTTACTGAGTTGAAAGGTTTTTAAGACAAACAGGCATATGCCCTGCTTTATACTACCTCCGTTTTGAAAACTGACGTGGTTTTAGTTCAAATTTGAACTAAAGTCACGCCAGTTATTTCCGAATGGAGGGAATACTAGAAAGCGAACTTTTTTTTTGGTCTTCTGGGTCACCAGGACATTCTTCCTCCTGAAGCAAACGGTAGCAAAAAAAGAAAGCACACAACACCCAACTTAAGAAGGACGAACAAGCACTCCAACTGTCCCACATAAGATAGAGATAAACTCAAAGCTCCCCGCAACTCCATACAAGTACTCCCTCTGTCCCAAAATAAGTCTCAACTTTAGTACAACTTGTACTAAAGTTAGGACAAAGTTGAGACACTTATTTTGGGACGGAGGGAGTATCATACAGAGCAGAATCCTAGGCATACCAAGAACACAAACCACTAAGCTGAAAGTTGTCACATGGAGTGTTCTTTTTTTTACCCATTGTCTCCTACGGTGGCAGATTGCGGGAGACAGAAGAGGATGGAGTGAACAGGGAGCCATCACACCTTTTCCGTTTTTAAGCCTGAACCAGTGAGTTTAAGTGCTTCTGATAAAATCCAAAAGATGTTGGGACTCATTCATTCAAAGTTCACAAATTAGGCTCCCTGTTTCTCACTCCATCGTGTTCTCTGTCCCACGGTGACCTCTTTAGCTCCCTCTATTGTTGTTGTGTTCGAAAGAAGGGTGACGATTTTTCTTGGGCCATGGATCCTTGTGTGAGAGGCGGTGGAGGAGGCATGAGACCTCTCCGCCTGCCCCATATCATACTCCTGTCCAGGTCACCCTGGAGACATCGATATTTCACGGTTCAAGTGTGCCTCATGTAAGTTACTATAATATTATGTTGGCTTCACTTTGATGCTACCTCTATAGTTTCTTATCCAGGTTGAAAAATAGCTTTGCGGCAACTCATGAATTTATGGATTGTTCAAGTCTCTTGACCCCACGAGACTTTAGATCTGGAATAAACTGATGCCATGAATGATTTTCTTTGATTTGGGTTTGTTTTTGAAATGAAATTTGTGTGCTACCGTGTGCTGAGATGGAGTTGTCACCTGTATACAATATGTTGCGTTACTGCATGCTATTTCTTCTGCCATTAAACAAATGCTTATTTTTATGCTATTACATTAGTCGAGTTGGTAATTAAGTGATTTGACAACATGAAAGAATGCTACCTTCTCATCAGCTCCTAGAGTTTGCTACAGTAGCCTCCAACCCATCGATGGCTTCCTCCTCATCCTCAGGTCCACTCAAGCCTGTTGCTGACCTTCCATCATCCTGCAGCCCTGCATCTCATCATCCTCTTCAGTTTATAACTAGTAAGGCCTCAAGCTGCTTATAATTATGTGTAGAGTTTGTAGTTGTGTTGTAATTGCATTGATCCTTGGTCATTCTCGTGTGCTATATTGTGACCTTGTCGGATTGTGGACTACAGATGTTGGTTTGGCTGCCTCTCATGCTGAAAGCAAGGTTTCACCTTGCCGACAGGCTGATGGTTCTCCAAGTGCTGAAGTAATGGGGCCAGAGGTTAGCCTTCCAGAGGTATGATGAACTCCCCAAAAAATTACTACCTCCTTTCAGAAAGACTCCTATAAAGCACGAGGTCAATCAGATATGATGTGAAAATTGGGGGCTCATGGCAAGCGCCCAGAGTGAAGCTGTGATCTCCAGCACGCGCTCTTTTTGCATGGCCAGAGCACAAGATTGCCCACTGAGAGAACACTACTGCTATGCCTCTCAGGATCACCTGCACACCAGTCCATGAACTTCTGTTAAAACAGAGTTCATTCCTACATTTCCACAGACCATAGAGTTGCTGCATGAACTAGGTTAATTGTCTGGTGTTTTTTGTGACTGATCCACCACTTTGCAATGTACCTCAAAGTTCACAGTAGTGTTAACCCAGCGAGGGTACTAATATTTCTCCACACCTTAGTGGCAACAGCACAGGCAAAGAATGAGCGCGTACAGGCATCTTCATTACAGAATAGGCAGGATAAATTGTCAAGATTTTGCCTTTTAGCTAGGTTATCTCTAGTGAGCAACTTATTATGAGGTAAAAGCCAAAGAAAAATATGGATTTTAGGAGGAACATTAAGTTGCCAAACAGCAGGAATATGAACAGGGACGACCCCCCTCACAACAGCATATAAAGACCGACAGAGTAAATACCATTGGATTCAAGCTTCCAAATCACAACATCGGCATCAGTATTAAGCCGAATAGACTCAGCAATATGAACAAAGTCAAACCACTGGAGGAACAATCTGTTGTCCACACACCTTCTAAAAGTAATCCTAAGGTTAACACCATCCCATGTATCAGCAATAGTGATGTGGCTATTGTACTAATTACAGAATAATACATGGCCTGTATGTGACTAGCGTACTAATTTATAGTTTTTTTTTTCTAATTTAGGGTCCGTTTCGATTGTTAAAAGTTTGTGTTAATTGAGCTGAAACCTACTGTTCATGGAGTTCAAAGCTCAGCTTCTTTCTCCTCCAACACGAAATCTCAAATTTCATGGTTGAAAGTTCCTATTCTGTCAGCTGGAAGTTGAAATCATGTCATTTCAAAGCTATGGATTCACATAGTTGCATGAGTTTGCTGTTGAAATCTTTTCTTTACTGAGTTGAAAGGTTTTTAAGACAAACAGGCATATGCCCTGCTTTATACTACCTCCGTTTTGAAAACTGACGTGGTTTTAGTTCAAATTTGAACTAAAGTCACGCCAGTTATTTCCGAATGGAGGGAATACTAGAAAGCGAACTTTTTTTTTGGTCTTCTGGGTCACCAGGACATTCTTCCTCCTGAAGCAAACGGTAGCAAAAAAAGAAAGCACACAACACCCAACTTAAGAAGGACGAACAAGCACTCCAACTGTCCCACATAAGATAGAGATAAACTCAAAGCTCCCCGCAACTCCATACAAGTACTCCCTCTGTCCCAAAATAAGTCTCAACTTTAGTACAACTTGTACTAAAGTTAGGACAAAGTTGAGACACTTATTTTGGGACGGAGGGAGTATCATACAGAGCAGAATCCTAGGCATACCAAGAACACAAACCACTAAGCTGAAAGTTGTCACATGGAGTGTTCTTTTTTTTACCCATTGTCTCCTACGGTGGCAGATTGCGGGAGACAGAAGAGGATGGAGTGAACAGGGAGCCATCACACCTTTTCCGTTTTTAAGCCTGAACCAGTGAGTTTAAGTGCTTCTGATAAAATCCAAAAGATGTTGGGACTCATTCATTCAAAGTTCACAAATTAGGCTCCCTGTTTCTCACTCCATCGTGTTCTCTGTCCCACGGTGACCTCTTTAGCTCCCTCTATTGTTGTTGTGTTCGAAAGAAGGGTGACGATTTTTCTTGGGCCATGGATCCTTGTGTGAGAGGCGGTGGAGGAGGCATGAGACCTCTCCGCCTGCCCCATATCATACTCCTGTCCAGGTCACCCTGGAGACATCGATATTTCACGGTTCAAGTGTGCCTCATGTAAGTTACTATAATATTATGTTGGCTTCACTTTGATGCTACCTCTATAGTTTCTTATCCAGGTTGAAAAATAGCTTTGCGGCAACTCATGAATTTATGGATTGTTCAAGTCTCTTGACCCCACGAGACTTTAGATCTGGAATAAACTGATGCCATGAATGATTTTCTTTGATTTGGGTTTGTTTTTGAAATGAAATTTGTGTGCTACCGTGTGCTGAGATGGAGTTGTCACCTGTATACAATATGTTGCGTTACTGCATGCTATTTCTTCTGCCATTAAACAAATGCTTATTTTTATGCTATTACATTAGTCGAGTTGGTAATTAAGTGATTTGACAACATGAAAGAATGCTACCTTCTCATCAGCTCCTAGAGTTTGCTACAGTAGCCTCCAACCCATCGATGGCTTCCTCCTCATCCTCAGGTCCACTCAAGCCTGTTGCTGACCTTCCATCATCCTGCAGCCCTGCATCTCATCATCCTCTTCAGTTTATAACTAGTAAGGCCTCAAGCTGCTTATAATTATGTGTAGAGTTTGTAGTTGTGTTGTAATTGCATTGATCCTTGGTCATTCTCGTGTGCTATATTGTGACCTTGTCGGATTGTGGACTACAGATGTTGGTTTGGCTGCCTCTCATGCTGAAAGCAAGGTTTCACCTTGCCGACAGGCTGATGGTTCTCCAAGTGCTGAAGTAATGGGGCCAGAGGTTAGCCTTCCAGAGGTATGATGAACTCCCCAAAAAATTACTACCTCCTTTCAGAAAGACTCCTATAAAGCACGAGGTCAATCAGATATGATGTGAAAATTGACATTAGATTCGTCATGACAAACATTTTAATAAAAAAGGGCAGCCCAGTGCATGTAGCTCCCGCTTGCGCAGGGTCCGGGGAAGGGTCCGACCACTTTGGGTCTATAGTACGCAGCCTTTCCCTACATTTCTGTAAGAGGCTGTTTCCAGGACTTGAACCCGTGACCTCATGGTCACAAGGCAGCAGCTTTACCACTGCGCCAAGGCTCCCCTTCCATGACAAACATTTTAATAATGCCATAATTTTTTTTATATACTCCCTCCGTTCCATATTAAGTGTCACTGATTTAGTACAACTTTGTACTAAATCAGCGACACTTAATATGGAATGGAGGGAGTATAAGTTTACTAACATACTTGTACGAAAATTCAGTCAAAGTTGCATGTTGGAGGCCGAGCCCAAGTCCAAAACATGTCTTTTGGCTGCCTGTACTTGATGCATTCTCTCTTGTTATACTTTTCGTTTTGGCATAAAGTAGCTCAGTGCTCAATTTATGTACTTGATAAAGTAGTCCATTTGTAGTGCCTGACAGTTCTGAATCAATGTAAACGCCCCACAAGGTGTACAATTCATCTCCACTAGTAATGTAGAGCAACAAGTCATCACTGCCAACACTATTTCAATACTTCATTTTTGTATCATGCTTGTGCAGGATATCATTTGGAAGATACATGCCCTTATGCCTATTCAAGATGCCGCTCGTGCTGCCTGCTTGTCTCATGATTTTCTTCACTCTTGGAGATGCTATCCCAAGCTCATATTTGATATGAGAGCACTAGGCAAACAAACAAGGGATTTTATCAACATAGTTGACCACATCATGCGGAATCACTCTGGCGTTGGGGTGAAGACATTTAAATTGCAAACTCGCGATGAGTTCACTGTGCATCCAAGTTATCTTGATCGCTGGCTGCAAGTTGCAATTACACCTGGGATCAAAGAATTTACGCTAGGGCTCCCCATAAATAGCAAGCTGAAATATAACTTTCCTGGTTCACTTCTATCTCCTGAGGCAGCACACTCAATCCAGTATTTTCACATCACTAGCTGTGCTTTTCATTCTGTAGGCAAAGTTGGTCGCTTGAGTGGTTTGAAGACTCTTTGTCTGCATGATGTTGGTATTACTGGGGAGGAGTTATATCTACTTCTGTCCAATTCCTTCTTGTTAGAGCATTTGGATCTCGAGTCCTGCTACGATATACATTGCTTAAAGATACCACATTTTTGGTCGAAGCTTAACATCCTGGAAGTGCAATGTTGCAAAATGTTACAGATGATTGAATGCAGTGCTCCAAACCTCTCCACCTTCAATTATGATGGTCCCCTGATACATATCTCGCTTGGAGGTTCATTGCAAGTGAAGAAAATGCAAATGACATGTGCTATTGTGCCTATCCTGCTCCATTATGCTAGTGCCAAGCTTTTATCCATTGCGCCAAATGTCCAAACTCTTTTTTTACACTCACTTTATGAGGTTAGTTTTAGCTTTCATGTACTCTAATTCAGTAATTTCTTGATCTAAGTTATAAACCCTGACAAGTCATATCTTTGGGTATTCTTTTTCAGACAGTCAATACACCTGTGGTGCTGGGTAAATTTCTGCACCTCAAGTATTTGGAGATAAAACTTTTCATGCCAAGTCGTTCTCCAGGTTACGACTTCTGTTCTTTGGTTTCTTTTCTTGATGCTTCTCCCACCTTGAAGACTTTCGTCTTGCGTGTAAGTCATTCTTCATTTCCCAGTTTTTTTTTTGAAATAACTATTAATAGATTATATCTTGTCCAACTTATAGCTAGGCAGATTAGTTTGGCTCGTCGTGATCTTTACTTGGCGAATCATCCTTTATCCTTTTCCTTCCAACAATATTATGTTATGTCACTGTTATGTCACGGGTGCAACTAATTGCTACACAACAACTGTGATACCTTACCTGTTAGGCTGTTACTACCTTGGTAAATTCTTACTGAAAAGCACTTGTTCTTGGTGTTACTTCTCTATATTGTCCTTCTGAACTCTTATGATCAGCCGATTTACTATGCTGTACGTAATATAATAATATACTAAGAATATTATGTGTCTAGTTTTGCTTAAGAAATTGACAGTGGAAGCAAACATATGCAGGTGGAGGCTCCTACCATGGAAGGTGGTTTGATTCCTGGAGTCAATATTGGCGAGGACTCCTCACTGGCAAGTTGTCTTCCGAAACACCGACATCGCAAGCTTAAGAGTGTGATCATCACTGGCTTTTGCCCCTGGAAGACAATGATTGAGCTAACGAGATGTATTCTTGATTATGCAACGTCACTGAAGCACCTTACCCTGGACACTACTAGTGGATATCATAGGAGGAGGTGGGGCAACTGTTTCCCTTTGGGTAGGGATACAATTATGGAAGCCCGGAAGGCTATTGCGGCTATCAAGACATACATAGAGGGGAAAGTACCTCCAAAGATCAAGTTTAAGGTTCTTGAGCCCTGCAACTGCAATAAGTGTCAAGAATGTTGAGTTATGTTATCATAATATATTGTTATGTTATGAATATAGCTTAGAGCCCCTAAAAAAGTGTAATCTATTCAATGACATCTCTACTACTCCCTTTGACCCACATAGGACATTCCTAGTTTTAACTACATACATACACATAATGAACTCAAAACATTTCAAATATCATTTACTACTTATTTTTCCTATACAATTGACCAGCCAACTTGGCAGTGTGCGTCGGTTCATATCATTTATGTTGTTGGAGAATCAGAGAATGTATGTTGGATAGTAATGACCTCGATGACTATGTCGCTATGAGCGGTGTATGTTCTGTTTGGAGGAATGCCATTGCACCTCCAATCGAGGGTGGCAAGCAGGGCGACCTCGAGATCCTATGTGCCCGACCGCACCAATGGATTGTTCTTCAGGAAGAAATCATCAAATTCGATGATGGAGGTGTAGACCGTTTAGCGGCCGATCTTTCCACTGACCGGATGGTGAAGTGTTGGTTTTCCCTCTTCGGATCTTCAGACAGGCTACCGATTTTCGTTGAAGATAATGAACCGTACCTTGTCAACTATGCGAGCTGTTCATTGCCTATCTTGTGCAATTTCCAGTAGGGGTCATCAATGAGCATTACTCTCATTTTGCCGTGTAGACTCGTGGTACTCCGAGGTTGTTTTTTGGAGTAAATTGTATAAAACCACCACTTTGAAGGCAAGGTTTGTGAAAACCACTACAATACTTTTTTCTTTTGCAGAAAACACCGTGTCTTCGGCAATCTTTTTGCAGAAAGCATTGATCGGCGGATCAGTCTCAGTTAAGCTTGTTTATGACAGGTGGGGCACTTTTTTTTGCGTACGTGGCACCGTCGGCTGTCCCGACCGCCGTTAGACGGTGCCGTGTGCCTTCATGCCCCCTCTGTTCGTTTGTCCCCCTCGCCCCCCTCCTCGTGTCTGCCCGATGTTCCCCTTCTTCCCCCCTCTCCTATCCGCTTTCTCCCCTCCTCGCGTCGCGTAGGCAGATGGCTACTGCGGCTAAAGCAGGTGGTGTTGGCGGCGGCGGTCCTCCCTGCAGTGGCGCAGGCGACGCGGATCCCGACCCAGGCGGTGAGCTCTGCGGGAGCTCGAACCATAGCAAGACGACGCCCAATGTGGAGGTGCAATATTCGGTGGAATACGCGGCGGCTAGATCTTTCGCCGCGGCGGTGAAGGCGAATCCGATTGGAAGCCACCACATCGCCTCATCCTTCGGCGGTGTATAGTGAGATCCCCTTCCCCATCTCCATTGCATATTGTTGGGTCTATGGTTGTTATTGCGATGATTTGTTTATGAAATTAACTCATTATGTTTAAATTAGGTGATGTTTGTGTCTTATTTAGTTGAAATAAGCTATGATTATATAGTTGGAATTAGGTGCCGTGTTGATTTGTATTGCAGTAGTTCTTAATGAACCAAAGCTAGGGTTATTGTAGTGTTTTGCTTTCTACTACATTGGTTACTTAAGTAACCCAAAGCTTCGTATTGCTCTTGTTTGTTGCTGTTCTGCTTTTTCATAAGTGTTATAATTGAACACTTATACAACACTATGTTTCTTTATAAATTTGCAGTCTGGATGATGAGGTTTGGGAATTGAGGATGCATTTTCATGACAGAGACAATCTTGAGAGAACTATGATGTTGTCTGACATCACATTTTACAATCTAGTAGCACTGATAGAGACTGAAGGATATGGTTCGAGGGATTACATGTACTATGTGAAGGATCCTGGCCTAGGGATAGAAGGAATGCAAGAAATAGAGGATGATGACATATTGGAGGAAATTCTACACCACATAGTACAACAGAAGCAGAAGATCTTCAATGTGACAGTTGTTAGGGCCAGTTCCCCCAAACCTGCAGATATAAATAGCAGTGGTAATGTTATTGAGCAACAGATCCCTCTGCAGGAAATTGGAGAGCCCCAACTGTATCAGGTAGATGAAGAAGGAGTGTTGTTCAATGCACATCATGTAGATCTAGCAGCAGAAAATTCAGATGCAGCAACAGAAGTAGCAGAAGAAGAACCACTACCAATACAGTTTCAAACACAGCAGAGCACAAACAATCCAGAGGAGCAACGGCTGCAAAGGGAGCAAGGGCGGCTTTCTTGCCTCCAAGACCAAACAGTGGTTCCCAGAGAGTCAGAAAGCCAACCCAGAAGATCAAGGACTACCTGACTGCTTCTGGTGCAGCATGGGATTGATGTTGTGATCCAAAAAATGCTTTATCATGTTGTGGCACTGCTACTATTTTGATGATCAAGTGATCATCAAGTTACCATATGCTAGTATTGTAATGACCAACTTATGGTCTCCTACTATTGTGATGAACTAGTTTATGTTATGCTACTAATGTTCTACTACTATTGTGATGATCAAATTATGTTATGGTACTATCAAATTATTTTCTGGTACAATTGTGATGATCAAGTTATGTCCTGGTACTATCGAGAGAACCGTAAAGTGGCATCGATAACCCTTTTTGATGCCTCGATGTCGAGAGAACCCTAAAATGGCATCGATAAGCCTACTTGATGCCTCATCGTCGAGAGAACCATAAAGTGGCATCGATAAGCCTACTTGATGCCTCGATGCCGAGAGAACCCTAAAGTGGCATCGATAAGCCTACTTGACGTCTCGTCGTCGAGAGAACCCTAAAGTGGCATTGATAAGCCTACTTGATGCCTCGATGTCAAGAGAACCCTAAAGTGGCATCGATAAGCCTACTTGATGCCTCGATGTAGAGAGAACCCTAAAGTGGCATCGATAAGCCTTTTTGATGCCTCGATGCCGAGAGAACCCTAAAGTGGTATCGATAAGCCTTTTTGATGCCTCATCGTCGAGAGAACCCTAAAGTGGCATCGATAAGTGTAAGTGCATCTAGTGCCCCTTAGTGATTTTGGTGTATTGAAGACTCATAGGTTAAGGGACTAATGTGTTTGTGAGTGTACACAGGTCTATAAGTCTATGAGGAGTTTGATATTTACAGGGAAAGTCGACCCCTAAAAATGAATATCTTCGACTGAAGATTTTGGTATTTCTGAAGACTTTCATGAAGACTTTGAAAGTGAAGAAATTGGTGTAACCGTGAAGACTTGATATTCATGCGAGGAATATGAAGCTTGAAGACTTTCGTTTTCATAGTTTTGTTTTTCTCTTTCTTGAGTCATAGGAAACACCGTACTGTTAAAGGGGATCGAGGAAATACTAAAGAAAAATTTCCAAGTGATGCTCAACTCAAAATCCTACACCTACCAAACCCTTCGAGTGAAGCCTTTGGAATCTCATATAGTTCAGTCAATTTCTTCAGTGACAGAGATGAAGTTCTTCTGGTCGCTAAGGAATTTGTTCTGACTGAGGAGTTAGGAATTCGCCAGTGCGGATTGCCTACACAGTGAGGAACATGATAGCCCTGAGGAATTTGATAGTCAAATTTCCGACCATTGCTGTGCTGCACGCCAGCTGTCCCAAAATATCTTATCCACCTAATGGTCATATCAGACAAGGGCATTTATGTCTTATCATGTCGGGCTGCTCCCTAGGCTATAAATAGCCGCCCCCTACAACCACTAGCTGGTTGGCTGCTCCGAGAGAAACTAACACTTGTCATTTGAGAGCAACCTATCCTCCGAGGACTTTGAGCGAAAATCATCGAGTGAGGAAAAACCCCAAACCCAAACACCTACAAACCCAAAGTGATTGAGCATCACTGAAGAGATTGATCCTGCATGGATCCGACGCTTATTACCTTTGAAGACTGTGCTTCTTCCAGACGGTTAGGCGTCATGGTCTAGAGCATCCAAGAGGAATTGTGGATCGTCTAGTGACCGAGTCCGTGAAGGTTTGGAAGTCGCCTGAAGAATTACCATGAGTGATTGGACGAGGTCTGTGTGACCTTAGTTCAAGGAGAATACGATGATGACTTGGTGTCCTGAGCTGCGTGCTCAGCGACTGGGTGCCCGGGACTGTGTGTCCTCGAGTTTAAATACTCAGCCGCTCCAACCATACGTACAACTGAGACAACAGTTGGAACTGATCTACCAAATCATTGTCTTCACCAACCTTACTGGTTCTAATTCCTCAACTCTTTCATTTCCTCATTACTGTGTTGAGTGATTGTTCATATTTGTGTTTGAAGACTTTGACTGAAGACTTTCTCAATTTCCTCAGTTCAATTTCTTCAGTCTGTTTGTCTTCATCTTGTGTTATCGTGTGTTTACGCTTCCTGTACTCTGTGCTTGTCTTCATTTCATCATGATGACTATGTCTGTATCCTGTTATGCTTATTTCTGAGTACTTATTCCGCTGCTAGTAGTTCTTCGCTAAGGAATTTCCTCACCGACAAATTCCTCAGTGAAGAATTCATAAAAATCGCCTATTCACCCCCCCTCTAGTCGATATAACGCACTTTCAATTGGTATCAGAGCGAGGTACTCCCTTGTTCTGTGTGATTTTGGTTTAACCACCTGGAGTTTTAGTTATGTCGACCATAGGTATGATCAAGGTCTCCGCTGGGTGTCCTACCTTCGATGGACGGACTACCCCTACTGGAAGAATAAGATGCGAATGCATCTTGAAGCAATTGACAATGATCTCTAGTACGTTGTGGAAAATGGTGTTCCCTCAGTCACACCTTCTCTGAATGCTGTTGATGTGAAGAGATTCAAGCAACTCGATTCTCAAGCGAAGAATATCATATGTGGTCATCTGAGTAAAGGGCAGTATGGTAGAGTGAGTTATGAAGATCTTCAGAAGGAGCGTGATTCATTGCTTGCTCAACAAATCAGCGCTTCCCAGGAAGAATTTGTTCCTCCATGCTTAAAGTGCATTGAACGTGAATCTGCTAATTCTTCACCTGAATGTTCAAATGCTTCAACTGTTACAAATTCTTCACCTGCCTCTGCTATCACTAATTCCTCATCTGAGGACATTGCTAGTATCACTGACGATGCAGGGCTGAAGGAATTGTACATGACAGG